TGCATTTTAAGAATAATGAAGAGCCCTTGTGGCAAGGATAAAACATCTGCAGAGTTAACTGAGATTTGACTTTGTTTTAATTACTCAGAGCCTGAACAAGCACAGGAATCACTGGCGGTCACAACATTTGGACAGCAATGTTACTATGGTGAGTAGAATTCGTAACAGTGCTCTGTGGTTTGTTTTCCCAGTTATGGAATCCACAGTTAATCTTGCTTTATACTTGCATGCAACACTTCTAAGTCTTTTCTCCAGTGTCTTCAAGACACAGTATTACACAGTTTTCATTTATTTTTATTTACTTCAGCCAAAATCGGAGGATGAAGAAGGCTGGAAGAAGTTCTGCCTTGGGGAAAGAGTATACTCAGAAATGGATGCACTATCTGATAATGAAAATTTCGGAATTGATTACTTGAAGGTGAGTATAGGACTTCTAGTTAGTTTTCAGCATCTATTTTCTAGACTAACTGCCGGAAACAATCCTACTGTTTATTACCACTTTGTGCCAAATAGAAAGTAGGCTCTGGTGAGCCCAGAAAGTCCCATGTACATTCTTTTTATGCAGAAACCAAGTGAAACAGGAATTAAGTCTGTGTCTTCTGTCAAAATTTGAAGAGTTCCTTCATCTCTTATCAGCTAAAGTCATTATTTTGTTCTCACTGAACTGGATGGAAGCTTTCTTCATAGTCTGCTTTAGTGTTTTGTTGCATAGTGATATGTGGTTACCCTCCTTATATGTGACACCCTACAATCATTTTCTTTTCTACATCACTTTGAAAAACCAAAACTTTAACAAGTAACAGTAGAAGCAAGCTGCTCTGATACTGGACGTTTAACTTTCTTGAAGATACTTTTTTAATAAATTTTAAAGCTCAGAACAGACTTTCAAATCACTAGAAGTGTCTGAACATCAAATTAAAATCTTAGTGTGTTCTAAATTAGAACAAAGATGTTTGTGATAATGTTTACATTTTCAAACTTGTTTTTTTTCAGGTGGGCTTTCCCCCTTTGCTAAGTATTGTAAGCAGGATGAATCAGGTAAGCCTACCTCTTAGAATCATATAGTGACATTGTCTAAATCATTGTTTCTCATGTTCTGTGGCAGAAGGCTTACATATTTTTCTTTGCCTAGAAAATTGCTCATTACAAATTCTATTAATTGTACACTCAGAAGAAAAATATGTATTTATATTCACATTCAGCTACAAATAACTTTACGAGCAAAGATTTTTCATTTCAAGACTAGTCCTGAAATTATTTTGTTATTGTAGTTTCTCTATAGCACATTTAATGTTTGAATTCTTGCTGAATATCCCAATAGGTGCTTTACAATGTTTTTAAATTTCTCATTTAGTGTTTTAAGTGCAGTCCTTCCATTTGATTGTGAACTTTTATGTACATTGCAAGGGTAGAAAAATCACTATCTTTCCTTTACTACTTTTCCCACTGCCACCATTATACAAAACCAACCAACCAACCAACCAATCAATCAATCAATTGGTGTGATGGTTCTTTCCTAAACTGTAGCTACTTATCCATAACTTTTCATTAACACAGACAAATAATTCATTTAATACAAAGTTATTTCCAAAATGTGGTACTTTAAAACTTATTTTACCCTTACATGTAACTTCAAACTGAAATAAATACTGTGGAGTAGAAATACTTTTTATATAATAAAATCCTTCAGGTAGAAGAGCAGCAAAACAAAACATTGCAGATACTATATTGTCTCTTTCTGTTCCTCTTTTGAAGGCAACAGTAACCAGTGTCTTAGAATACCTGATAAGCTGGTTTGGAGAGAAAAAATTTACTCCAGAACTGGTAATTTTTAATTTATTCTAACTACTTGCACATGAATGCATTAAACAAAGAATAAATTGTTTTCTATTATTTTAATTTTCTAAAGAGTTCTCTAAATGGTTGTGTCATATTGTTACTTTCAAAACATTATTGATTAGATACTGAGTATTCACATTTGTTTCTGGAAGGTTAAAATTAGAAAACTTAACAGATACAGACATAAAAAGTACTACTCAAACTCTTTGTAATACTCCCTTTGTATCACTTGCCCCACTAACTTCAGCCATGAGGCTTGGTATCAAGGTTTAGAAGAGAGATCACAGCAGCTTTGGTTCTGTCGGGATGCTGCACATTATTTACCAACACCTCCAGTTTAGTTTGGAGGTGCATTACAGTGTGCTGGCAAAGACACATTTAATCCTTCCACATGAAGCACAGACCAGAAAGCTTAGCTGCATTCATGTGGTGACAAATCAAACCTTCTAAGAACTCCTGATTGACAGGCTACATTGGCATGGAGCTTGGCCACAACTAGATTGACCAGCTGTGTAAGAGCACCATATCTACAGCAGACCTCAGTGGTCTCATCTCCTTCAGTACCACAAAGCAAAAGAGTAGTGAAAAATTAGATGATGCTTATTATAGTTTCACTGGTTTTTTTTCAGTCACTTAAAGACCTTTCATGTTCTGTCCTTTCCTGTAGAAGACTGTTTTCTTTTTAACCAGTACATATGTTGCAGAGAATGTACCCAGTGATTTTAGGTTAGGTCCCAGAATGAAGGCCACTAGACACTGTGATTAAATTATGAAGTTAGGCTGGTACCAGAAATTAGATTTGTAAGAATGCAGTAGCATTCAGAGATTAAAAACTCTTAAAAAAGGACATATTTTCACAGTGGTGCAAATCTTAAAGCAGATCTAAACACTAATTCCATAAAGATCTGAGTTCATGCATTCAGTCTTCAGGAATGTTTTTTCACAGATTGTGAAGTTAAACATTAATAGCCAAGTAATAATGTTTAGATATTAGTAAAGTAATCCTTCCTTCAGACTATAATAGCATCAGCTGTAATAATTTATATCTTGGCCAGCATTCAAAAAAATGCCAGGAAACCCTGTAGTGCTCACAAGAATCTTATCTAGAGACACAGAACTCTACCATGCAGTGTCTAATGTGGTTTTGAAAATTTAATTATTGCACATAGCACTTGAATGCAGTTTTGTTTTGCATCCTACACTTCAGTCCTGCTCTATATAATATGAATTGCTTGCATCTTCAAGGAAATGCTCAGAATTAAAACTTTGTTATTTGAACCTTCACAGGGTAGATGGCTTTATGCACTGTTGGCATGCCTTGAAAAACCTTTGCTACCTGAAGCTCACTCCCTTATTCGACAGCTGGCAAGACGATGTTCAGAAGTCAGGGCACTGGAGGTAAGATTTGATTTAATATAACTGTGCACAGGGCTTGGTGAATTTAGCAGGTAAGGAGGATCATTTTTCAGAAGTCTTAATAATTAATTTTTCACGTCTTAAGTTTGTTTGAGAATGAAGGGAAGACTACAAATACACATAACATGGCTTGTAACAGCTTCTCTATTTGACACAGGTAACAAAAGAATTGCTGTAATATTTCTCTCTTTTCCAGGAGAGCAAGAATGAAGAACAAATATCAGCTCTGAACTTGATAATCTGCTTAGTTAGTAGGTAATGCAACTTATACACCTCCACTGGTAATGCATGTCCAGCATAAACGTCTGATTATTTGTACTAACCTACATCCTTTTAAAAGTGAAAGTCAATAAAAGTACCCTGAGCCAATGCAGCAAATATACTTAGCTGAAAGGATTTAAGATATACCTAAAAGTATGCTTATTCCTGTCTTCAGATGAGCCCCCTGAACCATGAAGCCATAATTATGATAGAAACACTAAAAGATGAGCTAGAAAGCAATGGGTCAAACAACTTGAAGTAAGGAATATGTTGCATTGGAGGCTTCTTACCATATTCCACTTCCTTCCTAGGTACTTTGATCAACGTGACCTGGCTGACGAGCCTTCCTAGGCTGTTTTGAGAACATCCAGTATTTTGCATTGCCACAGTACAAACAGCATTATCAGAGTTAACAGCAAGACACTGCACTGTTCAGACCTGAAATATTACACAATCCCTTCAGAACACCCTCACACAAATGCATTTGGGACAGCTGTGAATAACTTCAGCTGAGTTGTCAGTGTCTCCAGTACCATCATCACCATCGTTGTCAAGTGGTAACTGAAGTGTCCAGCATCATCTCTCAAGCTCCTGTCTTTGACTACATTCTTGGTTAGAAATTTCTACAATCTGAGTAATCGATGGACACTGCTATTAGGTGAAGTCTGAGGTTACATTACAAATTATTATTCTTTTTCTAACAGACTTATTGGGGTCTTTTTTAATAAAGCTAAAGGATTTTAAAAGACTGTTCTGAAACACTGTGGGTTTTCTTACTCCCTATTGTTTAACGGCAGCCTTCCTGTAGAAATCCAGAGTTAGGGCTGAATGTGTTTTTGCAAGTTTTGGTGCCTGAATTCTAGCACTGCTTAGCAGTTCAGCTACAGAGCCAGCAAGTTACTGAAACAACTGTTTCAGTAAAACGTAAACATTACTGCTTTTTGAGTAGTACATTACAGAAGTAAACCATAGCTAGCAATTAAAAACAATTACATTGAGTTTATGCACAACAAGATGGAATAAATTTCCTTCTTTGGCCAGTATAGATGACCTTAGGCATAAATCATTCTAACACAAGGAACAGTTGCTAATTTTAGGGACGAGAGAAACTCCTGAATTATGTAAAAACAAGATTTCTTGTATTGCCCCAAACTACAATCCTACAAAGGATTAATGATGTGTAAGCTGTTAGCTCACATGTTAGCAGGCTCCATCAAAGAAACACAAAAGCACCCACTGCCTCCCAGTTCAGAGGGAGTGTGGAAAGGTAGCAGTTGGGCATTCAAGTTGGGCAACACAACAGGCATTTGTTTCTTATTCAAATGTAGTCTTGGTCAGGATTTTTCTCTGTTCTCAAACTGTCTCTGGTCTTCCAGGCTCCTTTGGTAATTGAAATGTTTTGCTGAATGTATGGAGTACACGGTTTTTACCGGGTATAAATTATTACTTTAGTACAGAATAAATTTCATACCAAGACACAAGCATAGTGTTATTTCAATGAGCATTTATTATATATTTTGCAATTGTGCTGCACACTGCTATAATTTACATGTTATATACAAGACTGAGCCAAGATACTGAATCCACATACAAAGCCTTTTTAAAGTAGATACCCAGATTTGAATGTGCTCTACATCTTCTGTATCATCACCTGGAATTTACCTGCAGGAAAAGCAGAGTCAGATCACATTATTACCATTAGAATTATTTCTCCAAGTAATTACTTTCTTGTAATTTTTTTAAAGAAATAGTAAGGAGCATTTTAATCTTACAGTTTAATTGTAAGCAGTTCAGCCATTATTTAAATTTAGCATTTAAATTTTAATTCCACACTGAACACCTTTCCTCTTTTCTTTTAAGTTCACCATGTCCCACATCACAGAAGTTTTGTCAGCTAAACCTAATATTTGTGCTAAGTCTGTGGAAACTTTTAATTGAGCAGCTTTTGTAGTTACAATGTAAGTCTTCACTTACTAACATCCTTAATGGCTCCTATAGAGAAAGAGCTTCATTTGTGCAAATAACCTTCTGGACACACATCCTTACACATCTGATGCTCCTAAATGTAAATACAACTTTTTGGTTTTGCTTTCCACTCAACATCATGGAGGCTTATCCTCTGTCAGTATTTTCTAAATACTGAAGGATATAGTAGCAAGCCATATCCTGAAGTTCACATGGACTCCTATGGCCCAGCAGCTTCAAACAAATCCCACCTTGAAAAATGCTTATAACAGCAACACAGCCAGTCAGAAAAGTGAGCTAATAATTGAATACTCCAAGTACTACTTACATGCAGGCATTGATGAAACTTCAGCTGTTACAATACTCTTTATTCCCAGATTTGATAGGCCTCCTCTGATCAGTCCACAGGTGAATGCTAAATACTAAATAAAAAGTTGCACTTCAAATGAGTGTGTACAGTGAACCTTGTTGATAAAGATTGAAAATAAGTGCTTAAGAACACAACTTAATACTTGGGCACCAGAAAACCATGGAGGTTTTGAGAAACTTTGTCAGGTCTCTAATAGATGAAAGCTCCAATACGTGGTAGAGTGGAGCTCACTACACAGACTGTTCTCATTAGAGGCAGTATTTTGAGTCACCTTCTCTTTCCATTAAACCTGTAGGAACTTAATATCCTTAAAAAGAATTATTCGCAAGACTTGGCTGAAATTAGCAACTGGTATTGAAATCAACAAAGGAGAAACAGTCCAAGACAGCATTCTTGTGCAGGCCATACCTTAGAATACAAACACCTGCAGATATTTAAAATGTGTGGTGCAAAATAGAATAAACATTTCATCAAACACACACACACACACAAAAAAAAAAAAAAATCCCATGGACAGCAGCCAATTGGGAGGACTAAGATCAAGAATTAAGAAACCATAAAATAGAAGTGAATGCCCCATTTTTTAATCCACCTGAACCAAAGTGCTCTATGACAGGTTCTGCAGAGGGACTGATTTTACCTGACTTATTACCATAACTCAGCATCTGCACTCAAAAGTATTTTTAATTGGTGGAAGATCCTTCTGAACATTCACATCATCTCAGAAGCTTGTTTTATGTAACAAATAGCATCTTCCAAATGTGTTCTGGGAATTTTAAAGAAAGTTTCTGAAAACACATGCTTCCCAAAGAGAAATAATCTGTGTGACAGTGGCAGGTAGTGGCAGAAGAGCACTTGCACCATGAAGTAACTCAAATGTCACAGCAGCAAGTTTCACAATAACCAAGACCATTTTTTGAAGTATAAATCCAATCCACTGTTCTAAAACAGGGTGCCTTTCTAAAAAGCACACAGGTTCTGAAGGCGTATCTTTGGGTGCCATTTAGAAGAGTTTGTATCTATTTAATTAAAAAATGTAAAGTTATTAATAGATCCAGGTAATTAAAATGAAACTGGTAGACCCTCCCCCACACAGAATCAAAGGGTACCTTTGGTGCATGTTCTAAATACTGCTTTCCTGCAGACATTTGTGTCAAGAGACGGAATTTATTGTCTTGAAGAACATAAATACCCTGTTTAAAAAGAAAAAGTTGAGAGCTTCAGTTAAATGTGCAGTAATATAAAACCCACATTTTCTGTGAATGGATTTGATTTGTAGATAAAATATATATGATCTCAGGCTGAAAAATAAAATTTTAGATTGAGGCATATGTGATTTAAGTTTAAATTGTATTATTTACTTACAAGGAATATCAAAAGGAAATATTCTTAATTGTGAGTAATTAAACAAACAAAAATTGTGAGTAATTAAACAAAAAAAAAACCCTAGATAATAATATGATCAGTTAACCCCAAACACTGTTTATGTACATTTCTTCTTGGAAGAGTCCTTCCACTGATTAGAAAAAATAGTTCCATACTAGAAAGTCTTTGGTAATATATCAAATGCATACTGATTTTTACATTCAAATCTATCTTCATTGGGTTTTGCACATCTCTATTCTTATTCTCAAAGTCAGTGGGAATTATTTTTCTTAATAGCACTACAGGCAACAACACCCAGCAGACAATCAAAGTAAAAGTCTGGTGTTTTCTACAATACAATTTAGTGCAACAGTATGCATGTTAATAAATTAAGTATAAACACAGTATAGCTTTAGCTACACCTGCCATGGTAATTTCCTTGCTACTGACTGTGCTACTTCAGAATTTCATAAGACTTGAGCTTAAATTAAGGCTGCATATACAATTAAGACCTTAAGCTCAATACTGCAGCTTTTTGCAATTAAAACCCCAGATTTCTAAAGTAATAATTACCTCTTATTACTTGATAAGTCACTGAAAAATAAAACCTATTTTATTCGGCACAATCCTTGTACAAATTCTTTTCTTCCTGATTTTACACAACAGGGAAATGGCCATAAGAAAACCAAGTGATTCAATTAGGAAAAAGATTTGGTTTTACTCTAGTAAAATGGCTCCTTAAGTTATTTTGATCTGGCTGTTGATATAGGAAAGCACATGCATACAGCACAATGTCACCAACATGCAAATCTGAGAAGTTTCTCTGCTGTTTCTCATATAAATATTTTCAATAGATTACAACTGTCTCAACTGCTGAAAATTCTTAACATTCTTCACAGTAAAAAAACCTCTTCACTGCAGCAATTCTATTTAAATAGATGTTAAGACAGTAATGTCACTTTTTCACTATTTTTTACTAACATTTATTAATTTATTTATTTAAGAGACAGATTAAAAAGTTCTTGTTTAAATGTTAATCAACTGTAATCATTGCTGTTCTTTCTGTAATGCTGCAACAGTGTATATGAAATTGAAAGCATTTAGTCTTTTCAAACAGGGTGGCAATAAAGACATCATAGGCAATTATTAAATTATATTCTAAAGCTACATGTAATATGAATATTGAAAAACACACTTTCTACACAAAACAAATATGGAACATTTTGGGTTTCTTATCTGGTAATTAATTCTAGACCAAGAAAAACAAAAAAATGCACTAGCAATTCAAAACTCTCACCACCTTTGTAAGTTAAATCTTAATCTACAGCATTAGTACCTGGTGATTAGTCCTTAGGTTATCTATTTGTTTTTTGAATACCGTTGTCCAAAAATCTTTGCAAATGAACTTCATAATATCTAATTCATCCTTGAACCTGGCAGTGTCTTTTGTAAACCTAAGAGAAAAGTGAGAAATATATCAATAATGATGGTACACATAACCTGACCAATTAAACAAAATAATTTTTTACAACACCATTTTTGAGGTTATTACAGAAATTAGTTTTCCAGCCTCATACAGTAGATCATACAGTATCATTCTAGCCTCACTGTCCATTCATCAAGTATTTTAACTTAAGAGCGACACAGTGTTATCTTAGTATCTGCAATAAGATAGCAGAATAAACTGTTTTAATTCCATGATTATCAAACATAGTTGACATACAGACAGGTGGAAAGTGCAAAGTGCTCCTTCAGTTTTATCTTCAAAAAAGTATCTAAATAGAAGATAAACAAAATGCTCACACTTATACTACTTCTTGGAAGGAGTACTTTAATTATGCAAAAGAGCTCTAACATAGGAACAAGCATATAAAACTTGTTCCCGTTTTTAATGAGAGACTCTTTCTCTTGCTTACTTCAGATTTCTCTCCCTTTATCCTCATTGAGGGTCTTTATCTGGCACTACGGGACCACTTTATTCAACAAAAGCATGACTTCAGAAACTCAGGAGGCTCCACACGACCTCGGAACGAGGGCTCCGCCTTGCATCGCCGGTCCCCAAGGGGCCCGAGCTGCTCAGTGGCGGAGTCGCGAGGGCTGAGAGCACTTTACAAAAATGAAATAGAGTAAGAGCCAATCATGAAATTATGCTCAAGAAGTAAATCAGAGAATGAATGAAGTCACAAAAGGTACCAGAAGCAGGAAACATGCAAAAGTCTACACAAAGTAGTATTAAAGATAATGGTAAGCATTAAAAGTAACCATGTACCCCGACTCGGTTTTCATGACGGCAAGCACTAGGAAAACAACACACTCCAAAACAGTCCCGTGATACACAAACACAGGTCCCCACAAGAATGAGATAGGAAAAGAGGAGATGCCAGAACAACTGATGGTAACAGGAACGCATTCTCCGTCCGGCCAAACCACCACACTGTGCCCGGCCAGGCGCGCTTTACCGGCGCGGTGAAAGCCCCGAGGACGAGCAGCGGCTGCCCGGGCCCGGCGGGACTCACCTCTCGATGAGCCCCTGCCCGACGCGGAAGCCCATGCTCTCCAGCTTGGTGGTGCAGCGCCCGTTCTCCTGCAAGACACAAGGCGCCGCGGCGGCCGCGTCAGCCCCGGCCGCTGCAGGACGGCCCCGGGGCGGCCCCGGCCTCACTCACCCCTTCGCCCTGCTCGGCGGCGCGGTACAGCCCCGCCACCATCTCGCTGTGCAGCAGCAGGAACAGCGCCTCGTCCGCCATCGCCGGGGCCGCCGCCCCTTCCGGGCGGGCCCGGACACCCGCGGGAGCTCCCGGCCGAGGCGGGGCGGCCCTGCAGTGTCGGCCGGGCCGGTTCTCCTCGCCGGGGAAGCTCTGGGAAAGGGGCTCTCGCGCTAAGGCTCCGCAGAGTCCGCGGACTCGGGCGCAGCCGGCAGCGCAGGGTCCTGAGCGAGAGCCGGAGCCGGGGATCAAACGCGCGGCTCCTGCGGAGCTGCTCCGCCCACCCTAACGCCGGAGCCAGGCGGCGCGCGTGTGTCACTGCCTTCAAGAGAGCGCCCGCCCCGCCGCGGGGAGCCGCAGAGCGACGTCGGCTGCAGCCGGCGAAGAGCGTGGTTTAAAGCCTCGCCGCCGCCCCGGGCGCCATGACTGAGGCGCACTGCGGAGCTTCCCCGGCACGCCGCTCCGGGCGGGATGTGAGGGCAGGAGCGGCCCCGGCACGCGCCGCCCGTCAGGCCGCCACCGCAGCCAGCGCCAAGTAACGGCCCCGTCTATTGGCTCGCCGGGCACAGGCCCCTCTGGTAGCTCAGCGCTGATTGGCCCGAGTCCCGCGCGTGCCGGCTCCTCGGCCCCATTGAGAGTGGGAAAGCAGGATGCGTCCCGGGCGGGTGGGAACAAGCGGCCTCGAAGTGGTTTTCTGATTGGGCTGTACGGAAATGACGTGTGAGTTCTCATTAGCTCTGTGTCATGTCACTCGGGCGGCCCCCTTCATTGATTCGCCAAGCTGGCAGGCAGAGCATTCCGCTAATTGGGCGGTCGGGATGCCAGTCTACCCTGGGCTCTGAGATTGGTGACCGCTTTTGGCGAGCCGCCCTGGCGGGCGTGCCCCTTCCTCTCGTGCCCGGTGATTGGCGGTCAGAGGGGGCCAGCGGAGTGCGATTGGCTGCGCCGTCGGGGCCCGCGGCCACCGGGGCGGGCGGGGCCTGTTCCCCCCGTTTCCCAGCGCTGCCTCGCGCGGGGCCCGGCCAGGCCGCGCGGCGGGCGCTATGGCGGTGGCGGTGCGCGCGCTGCAGGAGCAGCTGGAGAAAGCCAAGGAAAGCCTCAAGCACGTGGACGAAAATATCCGCAAGCTCACGGGCCGGGACCCCAACGATGTGAGGTGAGGCGGGGAGCGCCCGGCGCGCCGCCGTCCCGCGAAGGAAGGGCCGGGCGGCGGGGGGGGCGCGCGTCGGGCCTGCAGGGCGGGCGGCGCGGAGCGGGCCGCGGGTCCCCGCGTCCCGGTGCGGCCGGTGCGCCGATGGGGGAGCTCTGCCCCGCGGGGGTGGGGCACGGCCGCGGAGCGCAGGACGGAAGGGCCGCGGGCCCCTTGGGCCGGGCGGGCAGCAGCGCCCCGGGGCCGGGCAGGCACCACTAACAGCGCTTACCGTCTCTTTCAGGCCCCCTCAAAACAGGCTGTTAGCCCTCGCAGGCCCCGGTGGAGGTAGAGGGCGTGGGAGCTTATTGCTAAGGTAAGGAGGCGCAGGGCGGACAGCGGAGTTTCATCCATCCTTTCCCTGGCGCTGGTTCGTGCCATTGCCCTGAGTGCCGTGCGCTCCTCGTTCGCCTCGGCTGCTCGCTGCGGCGCTGTCTGAATGAGCGCCAGAGCTGCCCTACGGGCCTATGGGGGTTAAGTTTAAAGCGCTTTTTCCTTTTGAGTTGCAGCAAGTCTAAATGGGTGGTTTTCCCCGACCTTGTCAGCTGTTAGGCTGAAAAATAAGGGGAAACGTCAAAAAAGGCAGGTATTGCGTGGTGGCTGGGACCTTGACTTTGAAATCGTTCAAAATCAGTCTCTTGCTTATTAAAAAACTGGTAGGTGCTCTAGGAGGGATTTGGAAAAATATGTGGATAAAATCACATCCTGAAAGTTACTGCAGATAAGATTATTTGAACACAATTGGATGCTTTTTTCAGTGCAGCTACTCAGTTAAATAAGTGCAGAAATTCAAGGTAAAATTAGATGGTTCACAAGCAATGTGTTTGAACATTTCACTGCAGTACTAACAGTAAGTGGTGATAGAGCTGAGTAAAATTTATGTTTAATCGTGATTAAAAAGCAAAATTATAGTTCAGTCCCTGAAGTGGTCCAGGGATTAACCTAACTTTGCTCTAAGACCATGAGAGTTTTCTTTTTAGGCGTGGATTCTCGGATAGTGGAGGAGGACCCCCAGCCAAACAGAGGGACCTTGAAGGTGCATCCAGTAGGTGAGTGCAAAAACTTGTGGTAATCACACATCCTCTGAGCAGAGGGAGACAAAGCTCTCCCAGGATTTTCCTGGGAAGCTGTGAGAAAGCTCAGAGAAAGAATTAAAGCAATTATTATCTCAGTCTCTGCACCTGGCAGGCAATCTCTGTCAAAGATGGAGTTGTCAAGGAGTTGTCCCTTCTTGACCAGTAGGTGAGAGAAGATTCCTAAGGGCCAATCAGGTCTTAGGTCCACCATTGTTTCCATAAGAACTGTGGATTTCTAATAATAAAGTGTCTTTTCATACCTTCTGGTGATGGGGTCTCCATATCACCTTTGTCTGTCCCTGATACCCTCTCAGTGATAAAAACTAATGCAGCCAACTTGCTTTTCCAAATGAGAATTTGTAACAGTAAACCAAAAACTGGTAATAACTGGTGACTTCCACTGTCTTCTTTGGAGATTACTTACTGAAGACTTGTTGGGAATAATTTGGGTGATAGCAAATCACTCAGTGAAATCTTTTTCATACCTTAGAGCAACATTAAGATGGTAGCAATAACATATAGATATAGCAATGCAAAGATATTTGGATATTTTTTATGTTTTATTTGGCATACAGTGTGCTATATTACATTCTTCTTGGTTGTGACATTTGTTTGCAGTGAACACGAATTATGACTGAGATCTGTTCAGTAAATTGAATACAGGCAATGTGACAATGGACTTGGGTTTTGAGCTTTCACATCTGGTTGCAAATCCATCAGATGTGACTGATAATGGTGAGCTTGAGTGCTGTAGGCACTTAATGTGCAGTGGTAGTTCTTGACCAAAACAAAGCTTACTTTGGAATTTTTGAGTTAGCAGAAAATGAAGCTGGGAAACAGGACAGTGCTGTGCCACAAAGCTGAAAAAAAACTTCAACCTTAATTATTTATTTTAGGATTTATTTTATTTAAATTGTTTGTTTTAAAGTTGTTCTTTGTTAAAGCCTTAGTTCATCCATGTCTCAAGTGGTAAGCCCTCTGCCTCTCTCCCATAGGTATTTCGTAGGTAATTTGAACAGCATTTCCTGTTTAAGAAATTATACCAACCTGTCCATGTCAGTGCATTCAAATCTGTCTAGTGACAGATTATACCAGTAGCCATTTTAGAGGTTTCTGGAAAAGCGCAAACATTTAAAAGAATAAATTCCAAATGTATTTTTAAAAGTCAAGTATGGTATTTGTGGATTCTTCTGTTTTTATTAGTCTGCAATTAGTATTAAAATTTAAACTCATAGATTTTCACCAACAGTAGATTCCGCCTGTAAAATATTACTTACTGGTTGTTGGAACAGTGGGGAGGTTTTCACCAAAGTGTTGGTTCTTCTGACTAGACATGCTTGTATTTTCTCCTGCTGGAAGAGATTCTCTCCTAAATACATGTTCTCTAATGGCAGCTGGCTTTCTTCCTCAGGCTGGGTGGAGAACGCCGGACAAGAAGAGAATCACGCCAAGAAAGCGACGCAGAGGATGATGATATTAAAAAGGTAGCGTATAGCAAATGGAGCTGTGCAAGAAGGAACCTACCTGCAGCACCATGAACTAAGGAGTTTGTTTTTCTTTCTTGTAGCCAGCGTTGCCATCTTCTGTCGTTGCTACCTCCAAAGAGCGAACACGTCGAGACCTTATACAAGATCAGAATATGGATGAGAAAGGAAAACAAAGGTATGCAGAAATCTCTTTTACACTACCTGATACTTTTAAGTTCTACCATAGAAAGTAGCTTTAGATTTGAAAGATATTGCACACAAGCTGTTGTGTATCAAAGATTATGTACAACAGCTACCATTATGACACAAAATTTAATTTAAAAAGTATTCTCTGAAAATACTTCACAAGCAGCAACATGTGCATTGTTCACATAACTGACATGGATTCTGCTTTTTGGGCCACCTACAGGAACAGGTTTGCTAGTGCTGTTTTAATGTCGTTCGAGTAAGACAGAAATATCTGTAGCTTCATTGGTTGCTTAACGTCTTGGATTATTAGAGCTGTCTTGGCTCATCATTTATTTTGTTGGTTAAAGTAGGGTTTTGGATATGACTCCTCACTCCCTCTGCCTCTTTTTTTAAATGAAATAGTTCCATCGTGTTTCTTTTCTCGTACTAGTTTGATTTCTTGTTGTGTGTACACTCTTGCCTTCATTTCACCTGCTGCTTTTTTGATTTCTCCTATGTATATCTCCTTTTTCCTATATTTTCTTTTTCTCAGGGCTATTAAAATTCTAACTGAAATACAGCTGTATTGGTAAGAGGTATTTGAAAATCAAATTTGCAACTGTGTTTGACCTCTTGGACTCCATCTACTTCAGACTGCAAGTCACCTGATGCAGTGATAGTTATACCCCAAATAAACAGAAGAATTAGAACTGGAATAAGGAACTATAGAAATCTTCTCTAATAAGTCCCCACCGATCAACTGTCACAGAAAACTGGCACTTCACTTGCTTCTTTTTGTTATAACCCCACTTAGAGTCTTCCATTACTAGGTTCTAATTGCTTCCCTCACAGGGAGACTTCCAAAATGCTTACTGAACTTCCTACATCTTCAGACTAAAAGCTTGTTCCCTCAGAATTGTAGTTTTACTGCTTGTCAGTTCAGTAGTCTCTAGGGAGGTGAGAAAACCAGTGTTAGTCCCTATGAATTGTGGTGGAGGGAGGTTCTTTAAGAGGATAACATCCCCTGAACTCCTGATTTTGCTCAGTGTCTTCTGGGATGTTATTCATGTACAAATGCACTTTCAGTTTTTGATTTTTATCTGTTCCTGTTTCTATTATTTGATACACTTTTACCTTTCCATGTGAGGTTTGTGCCACTGTAATAGAGTAGTGCTTAGAGAAGACAGTAGCATTTCCTTTCTCACTTTATCAGGTTGAAGGCAAATAAGAAAGGCTGCATGAGGTTGTAAAGACTTTAATTTGGGATTGAATGAAAATAAATTGAAGGTGAAAGTCAAGAAACTAGTTCTTGCTCAGAAGAAGGGAATTTGTTGAAGAATTTTACTTATTTTTCTCAAAACAACGCCTAATCGAATGAGAGCTGTTTTCATACCACAGTGCAGTGTCTCATTGCTGGGCAGCTCTGACAGATAAGCTTTCACTCCCCTGTGGCTCCATTTCTCCTTAATAGTCTAAGCAGATTGTGGAGAGGGGAGTGCATGCTTTTTAGAAAACCCAGTTTGCTCCCTCATTGATAGCTCACACTGTATTTCCTTCACTTTTTTTCTTCAGTACTCTCTGCTTTAAGATTTTTTTAAAGTATTTCCTTAGTGTTATTATTTATAGATGAAAAATGTGCAGGCTGCCAGTTTTGCCAGTGCTAGCTGTTCTGTGTTACTCATAAGAGCTGTGTCTTACTCATAAGCAAAATGATATGTCACTGTAAATTATATCCTGGACT